TACTAATATTAAAAAAATAAGTTAACTTTTAATTTTACAATTAAATTAATTTTATCTTATTTTTAATTAGAAATTTATATATAAAATTTTTTAAACCATATTTTTTAGACTTTCTTAAGGTTTTGGTTAGGATTTAAAATTTTTAATAAAAAAGTATTAGATTTCATAATAATTACGACAATAAATATAATAAACTCTATTAAAATTCACATATACTTTTTATTAAAAATTCTAATTCTAAATTCTAATCGAAATCAATTTAAAAAAAATACTCTCAAAAATTTAAATGAATAAATACCTTGTCTTTAAACGATCTATTAATATAAATGTCTAATAGTTGCAATTTGCCAGTCAATCCACCTGGGATAACTGCAATATTGATATTTATTTCACAAAATCGATGTTTAACTGTAGTTTCAATATGATCCTGAAATGAATCTAAAACTAACAATGAGTGAGGGTCAACAGACAAAGGTGCACACTGATTCCAAACATTTTCAATCCACCAAATCATCTCGTCCGCATTCATATATCCTTCAGGATTTGTTCGGATAATAACTCCAGATAGAAACTCTTGCCATGGTACATTTACTAACTTAAAGATAATCACCGGAGATAATTTTATTTCATTAGCTATACAACCAAGTACAACAGTAAAATTAGACTTTTCATGATCAGTTATACGAATTTCAACTGTTTTAGTGCTAGTTGTGTCAATAGTACGATTTGATGGCATATTGAATGATAGTAAAACTTCATCCATATTACCTATAAGAGCAAGGGGATAATCGTGTTGTATACATCGGTAGAGAACAAAGCTTAAAAATGTATGTATTTTTGGTTCAAGATCTTCTGGCAATTTTTGTGCAATGGTAGTTTTACAGCGATTGCTTAGTTTGTAACGGTGCATAAACCCATCTAACCACTTATCACTCCATTTACATTCATTAATATTTGGATAAAGTGAGATAAAATGCAATTGTTTGGCCATCTGTCGGGCTTTAGTTTTAACCATATAACAGGAAACTAATTTTTGCTTTGCACATAAAGATCTTATCCAAGAAATAAAATCAGTTTCTAATAATGGATACTTAGCATTTCTTCCAGTATTTAGTCGTTTAATATGTGGTGATAAATGCATTAATTCATCCCACTTTTTAATCCACTCATGTAATTGCTTTGGCTGTATGCCAAATTGTTCAGCTGTATTTCGTTTGCTAGCATTGGGGTTTTTTCCTAAATATGTAATGATTACCAATTTTTTGCGACAATTCCAACTTCTTTTTTTTTTTTTTGTGATATTTGCTTGCTTTAAGTTTGCTCTGTGTCATGCCATTTTTAATAAGTTTCAAAGTATTTAGGTTGTAAAAAAAAACTCAAGATTGTAACCATTTGGCTACTGGGTGTAAAACTATAACGATTATAATTTTTGGGTATAGAACAATAACGATTATAATTTTTGGGCTTTATTGTTCAAAAAAAAAAGTCACTTTCAAGTTTTATGAAAGTTAAATCATTAATTTTGTGTGGTATAAACGCGTTCATTTTATTCATAATTATAAATTATATACTATAGTTCATTTGCACAAATAACAGTATCAAAAAAAATTTTAGATTATCATCTATAAGATTTTTTTCTTTATATACTCTCCATACAATAACCTCCCCAATTATTGTACCCCCCTTCCAAACAATATACCCCCCAGGTATAATTCAAGATTTTCAACCAGTGGAATGTAACATACCTAGGTCATTTATATAGCCATTTACGGTAATCTTTTGGCAAGTACGTACATATATATGTATGTATATTTAGAGAAAGTCATTAGGTATGATCACTATCCCTTCGTCTGTATTCAGGCCAAATTTGCCCCGAATTTTGAATTGCCAATAAATTTTTCACACTACTGGCAAATTAATATAAATATATACCCCCAGTTTCTTGTATCACTAAGTTTAAGAACACAACATCGACACTCCTATAAAGCATCTTGGCAGCACAAACTCAAGGTAATGTTTGATAAACTTCCAAAATTCAATGTTCGTGCATCAAAAAAAAAGTAGATGTTAAATAACCCGAACTCTACTATTGTAAAATGGCTTTTTTTATTGGGGTTTATTTATTTTTTTTTTTACAGAAATGTCAGACGCTGTTACAGGCGATAGTATTGCTTCAAATTCACAATATATTTTTACTATTGAGTGTAACTATCATGGGAAAGAAATAATAGATCATAAACTTGTTATAACCGTTGAAATAGAAGAAGAGGAGTCATTTACAGAACAAGAATATGAAAGTTATTTTGATACAGATCTTGAAAGCGAACAAGCTGGTGAAACCAGTAAAAAGGCTCATGAAAGAGGTGAAAAAAATAAAAGGAGCCGGGGAGGCCGGAGAGGCCGAGGAGACAGAAGTAGAAAAAATGATCAAAAAAATAAAACATTTGGGGTGGGTGGACGGGGAAAAAAAAAACAATTAGTACAGAAAATGAATATGCAAATGAAGATGAAAATGAGACATTTAATATTTTCGACTTACCAATTTTTGAGCCTATACAGAATTCTCAAAAATATCATGAGAGTTATGTAACATTACCACATGAAATGTAGCAAGGTATTGTTAGTCCACTTACCCTATTTCAGCTGTATTTTACTGACCAACAATTGCAAATTATCATTGAAAATACAAATAAATATGAGCAATTAAAAGGTCACGAAGGTGGTCGAACCTGGAGTCTATTAACTTTAAAGAAATTAAAAATTTGGATTGCGTTAGTTATTTACATGGGGGTTTATAAAATCTATACAGTGGAGGATTTATGGAATTCTGAAGATAAAAAGCCAACTCATAGTATTAAGGAGTTTATGTCGTTATATAGATTCCAGCAAATAAAAAGATTTTTTCATATTTCAGATCCAACTAAGTTTCAACCTTTTTGGTATTTAAAAGTAGATCCCTTATCATCACATCTTAAAGAAACTTTTAAGAAATTGTATGTTCCTTGTACACAAGTTTCTATAGATGAAATGATTGTACAATTTGCTGGCCAAAGTATGCATACATTTAAAATTAAAAATAAGCTAACACCATAGGGTTATAAAATATTCTCACTTTGTGATGCAGATTATACGTGGTCTTTTTTTTTTAGTTCACGAGTTGACAAAAATTTACAATTAAAATATGTTGAAAATATTAATGAAGCAGGACACATAGTTTGGAATTTAGCAAAACAGCTTCCAAAAAAAGGAATTTTTTATATTTACATGGATAACTATTTCTTAAGCATTCCGCTTTTAAGCATTTGCGTAATAATAACCTAGGTGCTTGTGGCACAGTCCGTATTAATTCTAGTAAATTTTCCAAAGAATTAAAAATTGAAAAATCTTCTTCTTTAAACTGGGATACTCTTTATAATGTAGTTATTGATGATGTGTTAATTGTTTTGTGGGTTGATAATGGCCCAGTCACGATGCTTACAACACTTCATAATATTATTGGTGATGAATCAAAGATTATTCGTAATCGATGCCATCCACGTAAAACAAGCACTAATGCAAAAAAAGTATGACAAGTTTTTGGTGATTTACCAAGAAAAGAATTAGCAATTCCACGATTAATTGATGATTATAACAAATATATAGGTGGAGTTGATATTGCAGATCAGCTTCGAAACTATTACAATTGCCAGTTAACATCTCTTTGTACTTGGTTCTCTTTATTTTTCTGGTTATTAGATTCTGCACTTATTAATTGTTATATTCTTTATACCAAAGCTATAAATACAAGTATTACTCATAAAAATTTTAGAATTACTCTTATTTGGGATCTAATTGATGAAGTTCTTACTGATGGAATTAAAAAAACTCAAAAACGACTTAGCTATGGAAGTTCTTCGAAATTACCCCCAAAACGAAAGCAAATTGCTTATATTACAAAAAACTTTAAATTGCCTTCTACTCATTTATTATCAGAAGATCATTTAGTAGAATGGAGACAGAAAAGGGAATCATGCATATATTGCCACTACTTGGCAAAAATGATAAAGGTAATAAAAAAGCCAAATTAGCTGTGATCTCTCAAAGTCAATTTTGGTGCATTAAATGTAATGTACCTCTTTGCTGCTCTAAAGCATAACTAAATTGCTTTAGAGATTTTCATCAACATAAATAAATAAATTTATAAATAATTAATAAATTGTTTAACTTACATTAATAAATAAAATGAATTGGCCTTGCTTTTTAAAAAAAAAAATAAATTAAAAAAATAAATTAAAATTAAATAAATAAAATAAATTAAAATTTTAAATATTAAAAATTTAAGAAATTTAAAAGCAAAATACTATCGAAAATATTATGTGATAGATCAATTAGAATTAAGCAAACTTTATACTATTCAATTCTTCTTATTGAGACGAATCGAATAGTATAAAAATTGCCCAATTCTGATTACTGTATCGTAAAATATCTTTGCTTAAGCGAACCTTTTTCTAAAATATTGCAAGAAACTTTGATTTTTTTAAATAACAAGATCTTATGATCTAGTAATTAGAATCGAATGATTTTTATTATTCGACTCATCTTGCTAAGATGAACTGAATGATATAAAATTCATTTAATTCTGAGCAGTAGATCGTAAGTTACAGTAGTTTAATACTTTTTTTTTTTTTTGGTTATTTATTGTCACAGATTAAAACGAAATCTGATCAAAACGAAATTTTTCTGTTTTTTAAAGAAAATTTAAAATTTTTT